ATTTAATTCATTTATTTAATTTCCGATAATTAAAATTTTGCTTCCGATCACTTGATTGAGGTGCTTGAGAACACCTTAAATCTCATTTCGCACCATGAATTTTTAATAAAATCGTTATAGGGATCACTTCAATTAATTGCAATGGTTGAACAATATCTCGATTAATGGGTCCTCATTTGACAAATATACATATTAGTTAAAATTTTTTTGCTACAAGTTTAATTACTTTATTCATCGATATTTAGGGCACTTCGCTCAATGGATTTGAGGTAATTTTTAATTAGCCGGAAATTGAATAAGGATTCTCAAGCACCTACCTCAATGAATGAATGAATTCAATAAAAAATTTGATTGGCTAATTTGATCAAACAGACCAATCAGATTTGTTATTGCGTCCATTGGAGTAGATGCCATTTCGATGAATAAATCAGAGAAATATAAATAATCTTTTTTTCTTCAAAATTTACCATTGATATAGGTCGTTCAAGCATTACTTTTACATTTTTTGCATGCAGACGTAAACAAATTTTTAACCGATCAAAAAATAGTCACTTCATTTTTTAATGCTCGATACGAATGTAATAAATCTTTTAACCTTTAACATTTAATCTTTATTATTATTTTTTTTCTTATTTATCGCTGTACAAACCATTTTGTAAAAAATTAAACTTAGTTCACACAATATTTTGTAAACTTTATATCCAGTTTCATATAATTTTAAATTATGGACGACCGACAAAATATTACCTCTAATTTAAACAAATCCTTAACTAAAAAGTGTAAAAGATGTGATAAGAGAAGGCTTCATAAAAATATAAATTCTCAATATTGTAATTTTTGTAATCAAATAAGATTAAGTGGCGATGAATTTATAGACAAGTGGCTTATTAAAGTCAATAAATCAATTAATATAGCTTTTCTAAGCTGTTTTGAATTCATTCCATATGAAAAATTTAGTAACATTATCTTCTTAGCGGAAGGTGGATTTAGCAAAATATATAAAGCAACATGTATTGGTGGTATTAAAAGAGAGTGGAATTCGCGAAAACAAAATTTTCATTATTATAACAATCGTGATGTTATTCTTAAAAGCATTAACAATTCTGCAAGTTTTAATTTTTTAAATGAGGTCTGTATTTTTATACTGTATACTTATATTCAGTAATTGGTGTTGAAGATTATTAACATATCTATCTCTTTTTTTTATAGTTGGAGAATTTTTTAGAGTGTATGAAATCACGCTATCCTTGTCCAGCTTATAAAGTATCTAATTATCTTGGCATTACACAAGATCCCAAAATTAAAAACTTTATAATCATTATCGAATATGCCGACTTACATAATTTTATTTCGAAAAAGTTCCATACATTATCTTGGTATGAAAAGATTGGAGTTCTTAAAGATATAGCACATGGAATTGCCAGAATTCATGGCAAACAAATTATTCATCAAGATCTTCATCCTGGTAATATACTAGTTTATAATAATAATGAAAGAAGTTATGCAAAAATCAGTGATTTTGGAATAAGCAAGTCATTAAACACAAAGTCTAATATAAAAGATATCTTTGGAGTGATTCCATACATCGCACCAGAAATATTTATAGAAAAAAAATACTCCAAGGCTTCAGATATATATAGCTTTGGAATGATTATGTGGGAAGTCATTAGTGGAAGAAGACCTTTTTCTAATTGTGAACATGATTCATTACTTGTTTTGAAAATTCTCAGGAAATCTCGCCCGGAAATTAGTAATAACACACCAGAATTTCTTAAAGAATTAATAGAAAAATGCTGGAATGCTGATCCATCAGAAAGGCCAAAAGCAACTAAAATTGTAAAAACTTTTAGAGATATTTTAAAGAAAATACGTACTAAAAAACTTGATATCCCTGAAGTTACAAAAATATTATCTGTCGAGGATGAACCATCATTGATATATACTAGTAGACTATTAACCTCTATAGTTTATAAAGCAGTAAGACAACATAATGAAGTAGCAAGGCAATATAATGAAACTAAATGTGTCATAGATTGGGAATCACACTGACATAGCCACAGCAATTTATGGAGTAATACGAATAGTAGTAGAGTATAGTTTAGTAAAGTAGTGGAGTATAATACGTTAAATTAGCAAACACGTGTGTATGGTTGATGAGGTTACTATTACGTATAAATTAATATTAATATATCGTGTATAGCATGCAAAATTTGCGCAAATACGATTTTAAAGAAAAGTAATATGTCAGGCTTTTAAACTTATAATATCGGGTCCAAATTTTATAAAATTTGATATGATATTTAGAGTTTATAATGTTCTTTTGACTAGTCTCTAACCTGGTGCGTAGCACCAGGCTTTAATATTCTTAATTTTTTTTATATTCTTAATTTTTTTATATTTTTAATTTTTTTTATATTTTTAATTTTTTTTATATTTTTAATTTTTTTATATTTTTAATTTTTTTTATATTTTTAATTTTTTTTATATTTTTAATTTTTTTTATATTTTTAATTTTTTTTATATTTTTAATTTTTTTTATATTTTTAATTTTTTTTATATTTTTAATTTTTTTTATATTTTTAATTTTTT